TGCCTACAGGCCCCACGGCATCTGGCATCTAGCCCCGGGGAACCTGGGAGATCCCTGAGCTGGTGCCCAGCCCCCATCTCTGCCCAGGAGATGGATGGGGCACACCTGGGAGCCCTCTCAGGGCACATCCAGCCTCCTGATCTCTGGAGACCTGGAGACAGGGACCTAAACTCTGAGTCTTGAGCTTGGGGTCCTCACAGCAGGGGCCCCAGAGAGAGACCTTTTCTAGATCTTGTATCTTCCTTCTTCTGTCTACTTCCTCCCCTTCCTTGCACTTCTTCCCTCTCCCTTCCCTCTTCTTCTTCTCCCTTCTCCACATTCCCTTCCTCTGAAGATGATGTCATGTGTGAATGTTGCCCAGTGGCAGCCAGAGGACAGAGTGGTGACATCTGGGGTAAAGACACGAGGTGGGGGTGGGCTTTGGTGGCTAATGAGATGGTGTCACTGAAACTTGGGGATCTTCATTTTTATCATGAGTTCCAGTGATCTCATGTAAAAGAATGCAGAGGAGGATAAAAATAAATCAGGCTCATAAATAAAGGTGGAATTTGGAACTGGCGGAGCAAACAATGTCGCGGTTTCCCAAGCGCCTGCGCTTTTATCCTTGGCCGGCCACTGGGGGGCGCCCACCCCCACCTGTCACCAGAGCCTCAGGCACGTATGTGTCCCTTCCCCCTGGCCCAAGCTAGAAAGGCTGAGCTGAGGATGGCAGACCGCCCCCTTCCCCACTTTCCCTTCCCTTTATTCTGAGCTGGATTGCACCAGTCTCGGTCATCTTCTCTGGGGTTTGGATCTCCTACTCAACAATTATGATCAGCCTCGCACATCTGGTGCCAACCCCCCTGATCCCAGCTTCTCTTTCTGGCTCCCCCAGCCTCCATCCCCCAGGGGCCTTCAGCTCCAACCTCCCTTCCCCAGTGTACCCCAGCTCGATTCCTCCTTCAAGGCCTCCCTTCCCCTTCCCTCAGAGAACCCCTGCCCTTCCTTTGCAGCTCACGGTCCTTCAATTCCCCCAACTCCACTTACCCCCTCAAGGCCTCTCTGTCCCATCTGTCCACCCCATCAAGACCCCTGCCCATCCGGAGCCCTCACCACCCCCTGCCACTGAACGGGAAGCATTGGTCTGCTCAGTGCCTGGGGGGGCCCAGAACCTCCTGCTAGCTGGATTGGAATTGATCTCTGGCCCTTTGCACTGGGCTGCTCAGTCTGGGGAGGGTCAGGGCTGCTCTGGGGACTAAGTGGTAACAGGAGCAGGCACAGACTGGGAAGGCTGTTCGGCTGGGATCCAGGAGCCCATGTGCCAGGAATGCCTTTAATTCAAAACAACACACTCTCTCCTCCATCATCTTGGGGTAAGACAGGGGCAGGGTTTAGAGGGGGACATCCCCATTTTACAGATTAGTGCCCTCAGGTTCCGAGAGGGAAGAGTAATGAAATGAATGCCTAATCCAGGGTCCTGCAGGGAAGGAGCTGACTTGAAACCCAGGGTGTCTCTGGCCTGGGGTTCTTTTCCTCCTTGACCTTGAGTACCTGTGACTCATGAGAGAAGCTCTTGCCCGAGTCCTCTGAGTGCCATGGGCCTCCTTCTCCTAAGGGTAACAGGAAGGCCCCACAGCCCAGAAGCCCAGGTCTGTCATCCCAGTCCCCTGGGGCCCTACAGAAAGGAGTGAGACAAGCACAGAGCAGGAGCCTCCCCTCTTCCCCTGCCCCCCTTCCCCTAGCTAGTTTGTCTTTGTTAAATAAAGCTGAGGAACTTGAAGGTTCTTAAAGAGATGCTAGAGCTTTGCGGATCCAAGCCCTTCCTTCCCACCGCCCCTCAGAGTTAGCAGATTGTCTCTCCTGCCCCTGCCTGCCCCTCTCTCTGCCACCTCCAGAATCTGGCTCCTGCCTCACCCCTGACTCCTCCCTCCGTCAGTGAGGGCTGAGCCCTGACCTCAAGAAGGCAGGGACAGTCTTGGTTCTACTCTCCATTCAAGATGCTGGTAGCCCCCCACCCCCCGCCACTGCCCACAGTGAGATTCATGGGACTGCAGTCATAAACAGGGCTGAGAAAGCGTGTCTGCAGCCCGCAGCTGCTCCCGCTCCACGCACGGCCCGCTCTAGCAGCCGGGACACCTCCTTGCCAGTTCTGCCTTGCCCCTTTAACCAGTGTGACCCCCGCACCTCCCTCAGTCCCTGCTGGTCTCTGTTTGCCCCAGCCCAAACTTGCTGAGATGTTCCATTAAGAGCCAGGGAAGGAGGTGAGGTGTAGGCATGGAGGGTAAGGATGGGGGTGAGCAGCTCTTCTGGGTCCCAGAAGGCAGAAGGGCAGGGGTGAGGGGACATAAGAACCGGAGACCTGTCCTCTGCACGTGTGTGTGTCCAGAGCCCTTAGAGGGCACTGTGAGTCTGGTTGTTGCACACAATGAGGGAGGTCCCTATGGCTCAGGCGGGGCTGGGGCCAGACTCTAAGCCTGGGGTTCCAGCAGCAAGGCCTGTGGGCAGAATCTGCCCCTGCCTGGGCAAAGAGAGGGCTATGGCCATGGAAGTTTTCCTCCTGCTCAGTGCAAATGTCCACAGGAGCTGAGGGTAAGTGGAAGAGAGAGGTTAAGGGTCATGGGAGGCAGCCCCCTGACTCTGGTTGGGGCTATTTCTCCAGTGCCTAGATACCCCCATCCCGGCTTCTTCTTCTCCTGGATGATTATTCAGGGAACTCCTTTCCGGCCACATTCCCTGGGACTCCAGACTGCCGCCAAGCTTCTCAAGGACAGGGACTAGGCCTTCATGAAGATTGTCCCTGGGTTCTAGCCCCACTCAAGCAAGGGCCATCTCCGAGGATTTCCTCCAGATCAGGGACTCGCTGCACCATATTAGCTCAAAATGTTTTTCCTTAACTCTCTTTGAAACTTTTTAAGTTTACTTAAAAGGAAAGCTTCTCTCTTTACTGTCCCGAGGAATGAGATCCATGAAATCAATGGTTGGGTTGGGTCTGTGGGGTTTTCCTAATCTTTATGAAAATAAAGGCATAAGTATTAAACTGTGAAACCGTGTTCCTCCTAAGGTCTTGTGTATCTGGACCTCACTTTGAGGAGCGTGCCAGAGGGGGTGACTGCAGTGAGAGGGACAGATGCCTAGGGAGGGAGGACAGTAGGGACCCCAGACCCAGTGTCAGGCTGGGGAGGGAGCAGATGAACAAAGACGAGCACCTAGTGCCCCGAGGCGTTGCCATTGTTCTGTCAATAGATGTTGTTGAGAAAGTGTGGTGGGAGGGGATGAGGGCAAGCCAATAGGTGTGGGAGCCAGATCTAGCCTCTACCACTCACTGTGGCTTTGGGCATGTCCCCGGACTTCTCTCACCTCGGCAGCCCCATCTCTGAAATGGGGCCACAGTGATACTCCCCCACCCCAAGGGGTGTTGATGGCCATGTTGATGGCAGTCAATCAGGCCTTTGAAAGCCATGGAAGCTTCTGTCTGTGGAAGCCCTTCTTCCCTTAGTTTTGGTGGCAGGAGTTAGGTCCTCAAAGGTTCTGTCCCCCAGATCTACATGCCTCAGCCACAGCCTCGGGAGGAGTGTGGGTATGTGTGTTCGTGTTGGGTGAGGGATGGCTTTTCCTGAAATGTGGTTGAATCTCTTCTTTCCTCCTGAGGTGCGCAGTGGCTGTGTGGAGGAAGGGGGCCAGTGGGGCGTGGCATCTGGATGGAACATGGCTGGGTCCTGGAATCCCTAGCCTCCTCTTCTTTGCCCCAACTGGCCCCGAGAGTCAGCCCCTGTGTCTGCAGCAGTGCCTGACAGCCCTGGATCTAGGCTATATGTGGGGGGCGTGGCCTGGAGACTGGTGGATGATGGGGCTGGGGTATTCCTGGGAGACTGCGTTTGCCTCCCAGTCGGGAGCCCCTTGGCACCTGGTACGGGTGTCATTCTGGAAGCACTGTGCCCTTCTGGGCTATGAAAAGTCATCTTCGAGGCTAGAAGGTGGGAGACAGCAAGTCTCGGCCAGGAGTGGAGCAGGGTAGGACCAGGAGCTCAGGGATGGTGGCCATATGGGAAAAGGATTCAGAATTCCGTGTGGGGACCTCAACCCCCGGCCTTCTCTTTTTTTCTGCTTCTGTACTGTCCTTTGTCCCCTGTGCGTCCCTTAAAGGTCTTGAACTTGTGTGCATGTGTGTGTGTGTGTTGGGAAGGGAGACTGAGGGGAGGGAGGGCCAGGGGAGGGGAGGGCTCCAGGGGAAGGGCTTGAGCTGTTCTGTCTGCTTTCTTTCTCCTTTGAGTTTGTCCCAAACCCATCTCTCTCTCCCTGTCCTCTCTGTGCCCAGTCTCCCCTGTCTGTCTATCTGTCTGTCTCCGGGGAGGGAGGGAAAGAGAGGGTCCCATGCCCCAGACCCTGGGCCTCCATCTCTTGCCATCATTACTCCTGCCCCCAGTATCCTAGTCCTGATCCTTTTCCAAGCCAATCCCCAGCCTTTAGGACGAGTGTGTCCTGGGCATGCTAGTCTGAAGGAGGAAGTTAGGGTCTCTCCCCCGCCCCCCCCCACCGGCCCCACAACACACACACACCCCTCTTCTTAGAGGATGCTCATGAAAGGAAGACTGGGCAGGCTCCTTCCCACATCTTTCAGGAACCACTTAAAGGAAACGCCCCTTCCCTAACCTGTTCACACCAGCTGTGGAAGGAGGAAAGGGATGAAGGAAAGGCTCCAGGTGTTCAAGAACCCTGGTTCCAGCCTCTCCTTGGCCTCAAAAAACAGCTGCTCACCTGCAGTCCTTACCTTTCCAAACCCACCCAAAGAAGAGCACCCAAGCCGTCCCGCCCTTGCCCCCCAACTTCCTTGGAGCCCTCCCCCTTCGGTCCCCTAGTCAGGGGGTGGGAGCAGCCCCGTTCTGGTCTCAGCCCCCGAGCCTCTTGCCCCGCCTTAGGCCTGCCCCTCCCCGCAGTGACAAGGCCCCAACCCGGTGAGGGCTGGGCAGCCCCAGGCGCCGGGCGTCCCGTGACCCCGCCGTGCCCCCTATCCCCTCTCGCAGATCCGGAGCGGAGCAGCCCCCCCATGCTGTCTGCGGACGATGCCGAGTACCCGCGGGAGTACCGGACCCTGGGGGGCGGGAGCGGCGCGGGCGGCGGGGGCCGGCGCTTCTCCAACGTGGGGCTGGTGCACACGTCGGAGCGGCGGCACACGGTGATCGCAGCCCAGAGCCTGGAGGCGCTCAGCGGCCTCCAGAAGGCGGATGCCGACCGCAAGCGCGATGCCTTCATGGACCACCTGAAGAACAAGTACCCCCAGCACGCCCTGGCCCTGCGGGGTCAGCCCGACAGGATGCGCGAGCAGGTGAGTGGGGGGCCCGCTGTGGGCCGGGGAGGGGTCTGGCCCCGTGCTCCCCTGCCCCCGGGGCTCTGATTCGGTGCGGCATCAGAGGAGAGAGCGGGAAAGAGGGTGGAGGGCCTTTTCTGGAGCCTGGGGAGGAAGCGGATGGGGGTTCAGCCTGCAGACCTCTGTGTGCAGTCCCGCAGTTGGGAGCACTGGCTGGAGCAGAGAGGCAGAGGGGCGTGGGACTGGGCTGAGGCGTGGGAAGTTTGTCTCGGCGGCCAAAGAAGTGGTGGGGAGGGGGAGGGGACAGTCCTGGGGACTGGCTCTTCGGAGCCTGAAAATCCATCCCGCCTGGAGTTGAGACCACCCCGGGGGGGACACCTCTGTGACTGGCCACCTTGGGAGCCTCAGTAGGCTGGATCTGCTGTGCCCCCAGCCGCTGTAAAAACAGAGCCCAGAACTCCTGGGGCCTTTTGCCTTGTCTCCTCCCTCCATGTCTCCTCCTCCCTTATCCCCAAGACTCACTGTGTGACTTTGAGCTAGAGGCTGCCTTGGTTTCTCTTCTGCCATCAGAAAGGCTATAGAGGAGTCAGGGTGCCTGCTTCTGGACCTGGGCCTGCCTCCTCCTATCTGGGGTGGGAAGCTTCCCTTGTAAACCTCTCCCAGATCCTTGGGTTCCTGGATGCACCTCTCTATCCATGTATGACTTTGTCTGTAGGAAAGTTCTTTCTTGGGACAAGCCTTCTGCCTACAGTCCCACATTGGCAGATGCCTTGATGGCTGCGGAGACCCAGGCCTTGCTCTCTCCAGGAGAAGCGGAGGAGGGGAGGGTGGTACATCCCATCCACACTATTTCAGTCGGGCCTGGGGGTGTCCCACACTTGTCTTGCTCCATACCCCTTTCCAGGTGCTGCTGGATGTGGCTGGGAAAGGGGAAGAGTGTCCCAACTCCCATTGTCACAACAGGGAACAAGGACACATTGGTGCACCTCCCTGCCCCATGTCACCTCCAGTTCTGTCTTGCTTTTGCCTTTTCCCAGCTTCTGAGTCCTCCTGGGAGCAGAGTTCTGATTGGAATAAGGGAGAGTTGTAGATGGACATATGGCCCTCACCCTCAGGAAGCCCCTCTCCGTGGGTTCCCTCTCTGTGCTCTGGCTTGGGAGGAGGGAGCAGGGGCATTTGTGATCTGGAGCCCGTGAAAGAATGGTTACGCTTAAGTAGGAGGGGCACAGTCAGTTGGGAGAAGGTTTAGAGAGGGGGAGACCAGGTAGGCAAGCCTGGTCAGGGAAAGCTTCCTGGAGGAAGAGGAACCTAAACCAGGCTTAGAAGGATGAAAAGGGTCTGAACAGGCATCAAGGAAGAGAATGCTGTTTTAGAAGCTGGGAAGATGGGAGGTGAGCATGAGTTGGTGACACTGAGACTCATGTGACCCAGGTGACCCCGAGTCGGTTTGGGGCTGGGTACAGAGGCCCACCTGGCTGGTGCTGAAGGCTCAGGGTGGGAGGTATTGGGAGATGTGGGGACAGACTGGAAAAGTGGGGTCAGATGGTGGCAGCTAGGAGGGCTGTGGTTGTTTCTGGATGGTGAATAGGAGGGAGCAATGGGGGGCTGGAGGCAGGGGAGGAGAGGGATAAGAGAGTGGGTTAGGGAGGACAAAGGGAAAGGGATTGGAGATTGGAGGGAAGACTGAGCAAGGCTTGTTTGCTGCCTGGACCGAGGAGCCAAAGAAAACCTGGGCAGCAGGGAGATATCGGTGTCTTGGGGAGAAATAGGGGGTGGGGAGGAAACATTTGGAGGATGGGACACAGGAATATGGGAGGGGAGTTTGCAGAGCAGGGAGAATGTTCGCTGGGATGTCCATTAGGCATGCCATGTGTATAGCCCAGGACTCTGAAGGGACAACAACAGGGTCAGGAGGAGACTGAGCATGCGGATTGTGGCAGAATGGCAGTGGGACCCAGGGCATAAGTGTGGCTGCCAGGGCGGAATGGAGTCTGAGAGGGGAGAGGGCTACAACAGTGGCAAAGAGGAGCCAGGAACATTCTCTCCATCATGAGGAAGAGGAGAAAGGCCCAGGAGGAGGACCACTTGCACTTCCGAAGTTGGTGGGGAGGGGAGTGAGGGGGGAGAGAGAGAGAAACAGCCATTGGGACTGTCTGGGATCTGTGGGTCCAGAAGGCACCCCTCATCTCTCATGGTATGGCAAGGTAATGGCTGGTTTCAGGGGTTGAGGAGACTGGAGGTGGCGAATGAGCACGACCTGGGGCTCAGATCGGCCTGGGATGTTTGGCCATAAAAAGGTGAAGACAGCAGGTGTGATGGCCTCCAGGGGCAGTGGGCCTGAGAGGGAAGGTGTGGGTGCATTGGAGGGTCTCAGACGTGTCCGGCATGGTCGCTGGCACAGATAGGCACTCAGCAAGTACCTAGATGAGTATGAGAACAGCAACTCGCTCACAAATTCATTCCTTTGTTCATTGACTCATTCATTCCCTCCGGTAGAGTGTGAGTGGGTAGGACCTACAGCCGGTTCCCTGACCGGGGAGGACTGGGCACCTAAGGGTAGGGCCGGCGGGGTGAATGGCTGTGGAATGAATGAAGATGAATGAATTTGGGGATGTTGAGTCGGGAGAGGGCCATGGGGAAAATCAGAAGGTGATGGGTTTCAAGCCTTAGGTGTGGTGTGGCCCTGGGGTGGGAGATGGCAGGAAAGAACGAGGTGCTGTCAGAACAGAGGCCCGTGGGGATGAGGACCCCTGCGGAATGGTTCCCCATCTCTGTGAAGTAGGCGGTGACTCTTCGGTGTGGAGGTAATAAGGAGTCGGAGGAGCAGACAGGCGAAGATTGGCTCCCTGGCCGAGTGTATAGAGAGGCAGTCAAGAAGTGAAGAAAAGGAATTCAGGAGGATCTGATGGAAGGGGGCCTTTTCCGGGGCTCAGGGAGCCCCAGTCGGACAGAAGAGGAACATTCAGAAACAGATCACGGGCTCTAGTTAAGAGATCCAGGCTCGGGAAGGGACTAGCCAGTGTTGCAAGGTCCCTCTGGGTGTGAGCTCTGTGCCAAAGCTTGCCCCAGGAATGTCCCTCCTCTCCCCATCACAGTCTCCCAGCGGCTCCTGCCCGCTCCCCCTAATGGGGTGTCCCCCCCTTCGCACACACAGGTTGGCGGCTGGACCGTGGACCCCGTGTGCCTCCTCAGCTCCCTCTGCTCCCACCTCCATGGCGACTCCGCCCCCTCCGGGGCTGGCCAGCCGGCCCAGGTGAGTCACCCACTGCCCCCATGCCCCCCAAACCCCTGGCGGAGTTTGGCTTTGAGGAAGACTTTTTTTTTGGAGGGGGGATATCTAGGATTTTAATTTTGCATCCCTTTCTCTTATACAGGAGCCCCCCATTTCAGGAGACTCCTATGACTTGTACTCTCCCTTGATTGTCTAATTCCCACCACTACCTCCCCAAAGGTTTGGCTTTGGGGAAGGGATTTTTTTGAGGGGGAATACTCAGGTTTTGAAAAAAATTTTTTTGGATTCTTTTCTCCTTTTTTTTTTCTTTTCTCCTTTAAACTGGAGTACCTCTTCCACCCCTCATCCCATCGGTTTTCAGGAGACTCTTATGCTCTGTACTCTGTTCCCACCTGCCCCCTGCCACAGACCACTTCACTCCCATATTCCGCCCCCCCCACTACCTTTCCATCTCTGAGAGACCCAGCCTTCCCCTCAGGTCTTACCATCAGGAAGTTCTTCACAATGTCTGTCACCCTTCTTGGTAGGTTCAAGGCTCAGTTTCCAATTTTTTTTTTTAAGATTTTATTTATTTGACAGAGACAGAGATCACAAGTAGGCAGAAAGAGGAGGAAGCAGGCTCCCTGCTGAGCAGAGAGCCCCGATGGATGCGGGGCTCGATCCCAGGACCCTGAGATCATGACCTGAGCTGAAGGCAGAGGGTTTAACCCACTGAGCTGCCCAGGTGCCCCAATTAGTTTCCAGTTTTTAAGAGGACTTTGGCATCTAGCCATTTGTTCTGAATTTGTTCCCTGATTCCTCACCAAGCCTCAGTTTCCACTAGTGGGAAGACAGATCTCAGCTGAGAGAGGGGCACACTTAGGCAAGGCTTGGACTCACAGCTCAGGCCTGGACATTGTCATGGGAGAAAAAAAGGCATCGGGGGCCCCAACAGGGAGGAAGGACCAGAGAGTATGATTGCAGCCGGTGGCGGGGGGGGGCACCCTGAGGGTGGCCTTGGCTTGAGGGTGCTCAGCTGTAGGAGGCAGAGGAGATGGGAGAAATGGGGAACCCAAGGGGTGGCATGGGTACCAGCTTCACTGCCTCATACACCCTGCTGCCCGTGGGGACAGGCGGCAAGGACAGACTTTTTTAAGATTTAGAAGGAAAGACATGACACCCTAGGAGAGGACAAGGCTCCAGAGCACGGATGTTTTAGTGGAGTGTAACTCGAGTCTGGCAGCAGACTGGCATGCTTGGCATCACCCACAGGGCATTCCGCCCACTTCCCTTCCTGGCTTTCAGCTCCATCTTGACGGCACCTTGGGGAGCAAAGATGTGTCTGCCCCCCAGGGCTGGATGGCAAATGGGACAGACTTGTCTTGAGTGGCCAAGTGCATGTGGAAACCAAAAGGGGTCTGGGACAGGGATGGTGACGGGGCAGCAGGTGTGGTGTGCCTGGGGCAGACGGAGGCTCTCTCCAGATGACCTGTCTTGGCACTAGACATAGTTAGGGTGACGGATAAAAGGGAGGATGAGCTTGGTGAGCTCAGTTGTCCCAGGTCATGGGGCTCTAGGCCTGTCTGCATCCGGGATTTGCTCTGATGGAGGAAATTCCATACAGGTTTGAGGAGACCCTGACCCCAGGGCTTTGTGATTCAGAGGAAAGTGGCCATTCATAGGCTCTTGTCATCACTTGCTGCTTGGTGCTTATCACACTTCTCCATGGCTGAGTCTGAGGCTCCTTTATGTAAAGCGCAGGATCAGAGAGGGTCAGCAAATGTCAGAGTTGCACAGCAGAGCAGGATCAGAGGCTACCAGGGAAGCTCAGGCGTCCTAGGCCTCCCAGACTTGGCTGGGAATTGAGTCACAGGAGAGCTGAGTAGGGCAGCGGTGCCCCCTGAGACCCTGATGGGGAGAGGCTATGATCTCGGAGGGTCACAGGTCGGGAGACAAGCCATTTTCCTCCCCCCAACCCTAGGCCAGACCTCTGGGAGTGGGAGGCTGAAGAGGACCCTGGGAGAGGATCAGAGGCTAGACTCCAAGCCGCAGCCCCTCCCCCGCTTCCACCAGGCTGCCTAACCTCCCTCCCTCCTTCTGCAACCCGAGTCCCGGGCGGCGGGCCGGCGTATCGGGTGACCGCGGCGACGCAGCCACCAGCCTCGCCGATCCGCGGCGGGGCCGCGCCGACGGGGCCGCGCCGGGGGAGGGGGCCGGAGAGAGGATGTGCTCGGCGGCGCGCCGCGCAGCTCCAGGTGGAGTCGCGGTTACCGGGGCGACCGGGGCCCGGGCCGGCTCGGCGGCGGCGGCGGCTCTCGCATTGCAGTAAAGGGCACCGGCAGCGGCGGCTGCGGAGGCGGCCGGGGGAGGGGAGAGCCCGGGCGGGTGGGAGTAGGGGGCCGCCCTCCCTCCCCCGCCCGACTCGGGACCCGGGGCTGGGGGCCCCGCGCATACACCTGTGGCCGCAGGTAAGGAGGAGCGGCTGCGGGGGCCGGGGCTGCCGCCTGGGGTTCCGCGGCCCGCGGGGCACAGAGACGGGGCCAGCTCCGCGGCTCCGGGGGGCGGTCCGGGGGTGGGAGGCGTGCAGGCCGTTGCGGTTCCCAGTCCCCGAGAAACGCCCCCTCCCCTCCCCCACCGCGTTCGCCGCCTTCCGCGTGGGCTGCCCCCCCTCAATGCGGCGGGCGCCCCCTCCCCCAATCTCGGAAAGTCATGACCTTCCTGGGGTGCGCCCTTGCCCCCGGGGCCGCGCGGATCCCACAGAGCCCCCCTTCCCACTACACTCTCTGCATTGGGGAAGGGTAGGAGGGGAGGGTGTTGCTGGACACCCCCGGGGGGAGGGTCACGCGTGTGCGTCGAGGTGGGAGGCGGTCCACGCGGGGGCACGTTAGGTAGCCCCAGCCTAGGGGGCGGCTGTTTACGTGGACGTGTGTTCACAGGAGTTGAGAGGTGGGTGTGTGCGCCCGTGCATGCGGAGCTAGGGGCTTCAGGACCCGGAGGGGCGACCCATTCGGTTGTCCTCCCTCCCTGGAGGATGCGTCGTCGGGGCTCGGGGTCAAGGAGGGGTCACGCCATTCACCTAGCCTACTGGGGACGTCTGCCCGAAGGAGGGGAGAGACTCGGTGGACTGCGCTGCGATTCCCGGGGGGGGGGGGGGGCACGGCCCCGCCCCTCCCAGGGCTCGCCCCTGGGAGAAAAGGATCAGCTGCAGGGGGCGGGGAGAACCCCACTAAGGGCACTTAGGGTGGGGAAGGGCGGGGGTTAACTCCTCAGCCCGAGGAGGCAAGAAGCTATTTCCTTTTCTCACCAGGGAGTTTGAGGACTCCCTGGCCTTGCTTTCTTGGGTCTCCCGAGAAGCTCCCCCTCCCTCATTTCTGAAAGCCTGGCCCCTAGAGAGTGAATGGTTGGCTTCCACATCAAATCCTTTAGAACACCTCATTTTGCCCTCTGCTCCTGGAAGACTCTTTCCTACAAGTGATTACCCTTGGCAAGGGCTCTCCCATTCAAACCTTTTTTTCTACCTTCCCACAGTCCTCTGGGAAGGGGAGACCCCTCTTTGAGTATGGGGAGGTACTGGAGGTGTTTGGGGCAGGGAGTCAGGGGCCAAACCTCTCTTGGGCCCTTCTTGCCCTTTCCCCTCCTTCCAGGGGGTTCCTGGTGCTGGGAAACTCCCAGGGAAAAGGCCCAGAAGGCTGAGCAGTGCTGGGTGCCAGGAGATGGCAGGACCGGATCCAGACAAAAGTATTTAGAGACAAACCCCCTCCTCCTGTGGGCTGGTCCTATGTCCTTCACATCGGTTCACGATCAAATATTTGTTGAGGGCCTACTACATACCCAGGCGTTGCGGTAGGTACACAGGAGGAACAGACCACGGGGTCAAGGGTGAGGAGGTTGGATGGGGACAATCTCATCTTAGCAAACCGGGAGGAGCCCTCTGCTCTCAGTGAGCCCAGGCTGTCCCCTGGAAAGAGACAGAGACAGAGGCTGGACGATATTCCTAATGACTTCTCCCCACTGTCTCCCCCACCCCCCGTGCCTCCCTCACAAGGACACTGAGTTGCCAGGAGACTATGTGTCTCATTCCTGGTGGGAATCTTTCCTCCCGCTTTCCAGAGAGGCAGAGGGTGCTAGGATCTACTCAGTGTGCTCTATGGGCCTGAGCCCAAAGTCTCCGAAGTCTGATCTCAGGTTCACCCCACTTTGCCAAGCACAAATGCCACGACTCTCCCACTGTTACCCTCTAGGGGAGGGTGCCTGGCTTTCCTGTGGCCCTGAGGCTACCCAGTCCTCTCCCCTGTCTCCAGCTAGTGACTCGTCCTGTCCTGGGCTGACCGCCCAGCATCAGGAGTCTGAGGCAGGCCCAGGCTCAGGGCACAGCTAGTGTGACTGTGACCAGGCCCCAAGAGGCCCAAGGTGGCTTCAGCCGTCCGCATATGCTGAGTCCTATGTGTTGATCCTGGGGGCTGGGTGTGGGTGGGGGATCTTCTGCCTCTTGAATCAGGAGTGAACCTACCTAACGCCTGATGTCTGGGGTATCATTGGCATTGGACAGTCGCTGTCGCTGAGATGGCCAGAGGCACTGTGACCCGGCTAGTGGAGGGGAGGAGGGATGAGACTTTCTCTCTGTGTGTATACTGTGTGGGTACTGTTTTGTGTGTTCCTGCAGCTGGATGTGTGTGTGTGTGTGTGTGTGTGTGTACATATGTGTGAATGGTATCCACGTCTCTGCATTTCTGTGACTCTGGGGGAGGCTGGCAGGGGTGTGAATGGTACCCGTGTTTCTGTGAGCGGAGTTGGAGTGTATGTGAACAAGTCAGGGGCCGGGGACGGTGCATGTTTGTGCACGAGCAGGGCAGCTCACTGTATGAAAATCTCATCTCTGAGCTTCCGGGGTGGTTTCTGACCATGGAGGGCTTCTCTCCCAAGTGCTTGTGTCCCTTTGTGAGTGTGTCTTGGTTGCTCTGGGCAGTACCTCCGGCCGTGTCCTTATCTGAGGATGTCTGAGAGTCTGTGCTCGGCTTGGCGTGGGGCCTGTGTGTTCCCCGGGCACTGGTTGGGGGGGGGCAGTGTGTACACGGTATAATGGTGATAGTAGGTAAGGGACAGCGGCCTTCTCTGCAGAGCCGTCCATCACTGCCGGGCCTGCCGACAGGACTGTCAGCATAAACCTTCTGTGCCCTCTGCCTGGCTCTGTCTGCCCCAGGTGTGTCCACTCCCTCTGCTACCCCTCCCCTTCCCAAGGCCACAGGCAGCTGTGGCGAGAGCCTGCGACTCCAGCCTCTTGCCTGCCCTCCCCTCAGCCCCCGTGGGCATCCCCTGACACCCATGGGGGTGGCATGTATCCAGAGATGGTTCTAGGCACTGGTCGGGGCACAGATGTTGCTGCCCCCTTCCCTTGCCTGGCATGTGACTATCTTTTGTGTCTCTTGAAGCCAATGCTAGTGCAGGGGGGTGGGGGAGAGGTGGGAATTGAGGCTCAGATGGGGATGGTGCTGGTAAGTGAACCTCTCCACCCCACCCCAAGCCTGGCATCACCCCCACCCTACAGGTCTAACTCAGGTAAACCCTCCATCCCAGCAGGGCCCCTCGACTCCACCCCTGTCCAACTCCTCTCTGCCACAAAAGCATTCAAGTGGCCCAGGACACCCCTCTGTGATGTCCTTCCCCTGTCAGGGACCCTCAGGATCCCTCTTCTCTGCCAGTGGCTCTGAAGCCTGGGCATTCTGTCTGCTTGTGCCAGGCACCCCAGTGCCAGGCCATCTGCAGCCTCTGTCTTCCTGCTGAGACTGGCACCGGTCAGCAGGGTGCCTACAGCTTTGCCAAGAACCAGCCCAGCCTCTGGGCTCCCTTCCTTGTCCTTAGCCATCTGCAAGGGCCTTCTGGCCTCTAGGGAAGACAGGGTAACTCTAGGTTATGGTGAACGAGGAGGCACCTAACGTCACCTACTCTAGGACGACAGGAAGTCTTCCTCTCTCTCTAGCTGGCTCTAGGACATTTCCCACACTCCTAGTCCCTACAGCTCCTCTTGCTTATGCTGGCTCCCCATTCATTGCCCAGCACTGTGAAGTGACTGGTACCTGTCCCCTTTGCTCTGTAATGCTGGGCCATTGCGGTACACAGACCTCCTGTCCTGGCCTTGGCCGCCAGCCTCCCTCTTCCACTCCCTGCCCTACCAGCACCCCCTGGACTCCAGATCTGACCCCACTGTGCTTCACTCAGATGCTTTCTGCCTGTCCCCTGCAGCCCACCCAGCTGCCCCCAGCCCCTCTTTGTGGCCCACTCTGCTATTTTCCCAGACCCTGTACCCTAGCCAGATTGGACCAGTGACTATTCCCTCAACACACTCTCTACCCACTTGCCCCAGGGCATTTGCCCATACCATCCCTCTGCTCAACATGCCTTTCTTCCCAATCTCTAGCAGCTCATTTTTCAGGACCCAGCTCAAATGTCACCTCTTCCGGGAAGTTTCCCCTGGCCCGTCACCACCAGATGCCCCTTCTCTGACCCCACAGCTCCAGTTCATCTCTGCTGGTGTCTCCTGAGTTCCCTATGTCATGGTCTTCGGCACCTTTCCTACCTGTGATTCTCTGAGTTACGTGACTAGGATGCGTGGCTTGTGGACATCTGGAAGGGCTCTCCCTTGTCCCTGCCAGCAAGTCTGGAGCCTGCCCAGGGCTGGCCCGGGACTCGGTAGAGAACGGGGTGTACGAGGCACTGCTTCTTTCCTGTTCCTGGGAGGGCAGAGGGCCGTGGTCCCAAGGCTGAGCTCAGAGGGTCTCTAATCCACCTTCGCCCCTGCTCTCCCCGCACAGCCCCCCGCATAACCATGTCTTCTCTTATTTCCATCAGCAGCCAAACTACTGGAGTTTCAAGGTCAGTGCGTGTGCCTCTGCTTCCGTGACAAGTGCATGTGCTCTCCTGCCCTGGGCCCTCCCTGCACACGCTTTGCCCAGGGGTGTGCGTCTGCACGGGACCTTCCAGTGGGGGCGGCGGGCTTTGGGGCTGCAGGCTGTGGCTGCTGCTTTGAGAGTCTGAGCTCGCCTGCCAGGGGTTCGTGGGATCCAGAGTGGGAGTTTGGGCCACCCCTGCTGGGGATCTGGGCTGGGAGTACTTAGTGAGCCTTTCCCACACTGCGGGGCGGGGGGTGCATTTGGGAATGAGGGAGGCTGCCTGACAATTACACCCCCCACAATGCCGAGAGGCTGCTGGCTCTGAGACAGGGACCTGATCCCCATGATCTGGTTGAGGGCCTCTTCTCTGGATTCAGCCTTCATCTTCCAGGGAGGTCTTATGACTCTGCTCGGCCCCTCATCCCTTTCCTACTTGGCACTGCGGGGAGCCAGTCAGTGCCAGGCAAGAGACTCACAGCCCTGAACTCCAAACCCTCTGCCCAAGTGGAGGGCTAAGCTCAAGGATGAGTGCCTGCCTGACTTCCCAGGACAGTTTGGACAATCCACAGCTGCGGAGCTCTCTGCCCCGTCCAAGGACATCCAGCTGAGTCCTGGGGAAGCACCCTCAAATGCCTCCTCCGCCGTCTCTGGCACCCAGGCCCAGAACAGAACCAAATTAGGCTCCCGCTTGTGTCCCAGAGTCTCTGGCCCTCCAACTCCCAGGCTTTGTGATGGGGGTGGGAGGCATCCATTCCCAGCTCCCAAGGTCTCATCCTGCTCCAAGCATCTTATCTGCGAGCATGTGCCCAGAGAGAAGTCCTTGCATCAGAGAAATTAAGGAATCATAGACTCAGGATGTCAGGCACACAACATTTTTGGAGGAAGCAATAGGATGTAACAGTTCAGTGCATGGGCCCAAGAGCCTGGTGGTGAATTAATTCCAAATCTGCTGCTAACTCGCTGGGGGATCTGGGGTAAATGGCATGATCCCCTGGGCCTCAGTTTCTTCTCTGTAAAATGGAACAACAATGTCTGCCTCACAGAGTTGTTGTAAACATAGAAGAGATGAGATACTGCACGTCCTAAATACAGCACCGGGCTCATGGCAAGCCTTACCCCGCAGTCTCCTTCAGACTGTGTTAGAATCACAGACACTGACTTGATTCCCAAATCAGAATCACCTTGGGAAATTGTCAGAAATCTTGAACCCCAGGCCCCAATCCCCAGAGATTTGGATTCAGTGAGTGTGGGGCCCTGAAAAGAATGTTTTTCAAAAGCTCCCAAGTGATTCTGTCCCATTCTACAGACAGCCTTTGGGGACCTCAGATCCTCCCCTGACTGTCCCCACTCAAAGTTCCCTCTGCCTGATCTCTGGCGGGAGTCGTAGGCTCCTTGCTGGAATTCCTCCCATGCCAGGTGCGCCCTGCCTCCCCAGCAGCTTCTTCCTAGCTTTGGAGAGCTCTGCTTGAATTACTGTTTTATTCTCTTGCCATCTTGCTCGTAGACAGAAGTCCTAGGTGTCTCACTTTTCTCTGTTGACTCAGCCCAGCACTGAAGAGAAGTGCTAATGGGCTTTCTTTCTTCTCAAGAGGGTTTTCTACAAAGGCTGTGAGAATGGCAAGGTGCGCAGAGGGCCAGGATGGAGAGTGGAACAAGCAGGGGACAGGGAATGTGGGCATCTCTTCTCTCTGGGGTGGCCTGGACAGGGTCTTACCTTCTCTGCAGTCAGCAGCCCCAAGGCTCCCTGCCCCCACACCCTTCTGGTCCCTGTTCCATCTTCTTCCTGGCACCTCACTTGTGTCCCCTGGCACCGTGGCCACCATCTTCGTTCCTGGCTAGCTGCCTCATTCTGCCAGAATTCTGTAGCTCTTCATCCACATCAGCCTGGCAACCGCTGGCCTTCCGGTTGCCTGGCAACCTCATTGACCACCACACCAGACCTGGTTCCCCACACTGCTCCAGGGCTGAAGGTGACAGAGGCTGGCACTGGTGATCAGCCTAGAGTTGAGCTCCAGGGTCCAAAGTCTGGGCACAGGCACCCCCATGTGGGCCTCATTCCTACACTGCCTCCTTCCTCCCCAGACCCAAACCCCCTCACTGGTCAAGGCATTGTACTTGAGACTGGACACCCCCTGAGGCCTCCAAACCTGACCTTCTGCATCCCCAAGCCTTTGAGACCACACTGGGGACAGCTGGGCACATTGCCCATCAGCGGAAGACGCTCTCTCTTTTCCAGAGTGCTAACCCAATTGGAACATTAAATTGAGTTAGAATGAAGATGGAGATTAATTAGGGGCTAATCAGGATTTGGGGAATGAGGGAGCAGAGGAGAACAAATGACTCCTTTATAGAGATACTTTTTATTTTTTTAACTATAAAAGTGACATATGCTGATTGTGCAAAATTCACCCAGCAGAGAAATGTATAAAACAGAAAACGCTGTCTCAACCCCCAACTTAACCAAGGTTAATAGTTTTGAGTGATTTGTTGTTAAAAACAGGCAACTTATTTTATAGAAAAGTATGGCTGGGCGACAGGATTTTTTTTTCTTGATAACATATTTATATATAATCCATACATGTATCTGTCGTACATAACATGGAATTTCCATAACACAGATCTGACTTATTATCTTCTCCCTTGAGTAAAAGAGTTGCTGACAGTACCTGGGATTAAGGGAAGGGGCTGGGGCAGAATGGCAGGAACCATGGCCCTGGGTGACAGCCCCAGTCTTCAGCCAAAAGTAGTTCATAAAGTGTAACCAAAATCATAGCGACCCCTCCCTCAAGGAGAGAGTGATCAGGGTGTCCCTGGGACAGGGGACAGTCACTGGGTGATACCCTTCCCTAGCCCCAGCCGGATACCACCCTCAGCTGTAGCTTCAGGGCCACATGAAGGGGCTGCCATGCTGGGTACGGGGCGGGGGGAGGCCTTTCTAGAAGACAAGACAGGATGGTTGGCTGGGTGGCAGCATGTGCCTTGCAGGGAGGGGCTGAGGTCAGGCACATATGCTCTGTGTTTATGTGGATCATATCAGGCTTAGCATGTGCATTGCATGTAGTAGGCAGAGTCTGTTTGAAACTGCTTTGGGATGATTCTCCCAGGCATCCTAAGTCAAGGACACCGTGCTCCTCTCTGAGGGCCCATACCTCCCAGAGCTGGGATCCTGGGGCCCCTAGTTCTCTTTGCTTCCTCCCTGGGCCCTGCTTCCTGCCCCCACCCAACCCTCTGAACTCCACGAAGGATAAATCCGCCGCTCACACACCCGCCGCTTAATTAATGTCTGGAACTAATGCCCCAATTTGCTCAACGATTCTGCTGCTCACCTCAGTGACAAATTTGTGGTGGTGTTGTTCTCTGGAAGCTTAAAATAGCAGGCGTGCCCTGGCTCCCGCTCAGATGGTTTCTTGTCTGACTTCCCAGGGTGCCTGAGCCCTTTGCCCACTCGTTACCTGCTGGGTGTCCCAGGGAGGCCAAGGCCCTAAGGGGTTGGGGAACTCTCCTGTAGCCACACAGCGAGTCTGGAATGCAGGAGACCCTTGTGTGTGTCACTGGCTGGCAGGGGCTTCCTGGGCCTGGATGGGGGAAATGGCAGAGCAAAGGGGCTCATGTTTGACCCCTGCCCCTGCAGACCCGCAGCTCGCGCCACACTCAGGGAGCCCAGCCCGGGCTGGCAGACCAGGCAGCCAAGCTGTCATACGCCTCGGCTGAGTCGCTGGAGACCATGTCGGAGGCGGAGCTGCCCCTGGGCTTCAGTAGGATGAACCGCTTCCGACAGAGCCTGCCCCTCTCCCGCTCCGCCAGCCAGACCAAGCTGCGCTCGCCAGGTACCGCTAGCCCCGCCCACCCTCCTCCCAGCCACTGGCTCCTCCCTATGCTCTGCTCACCCTAGAACCCTCTTCACCCCCTTCACTACTCCAGCTCTCCTTAACCAAACCCCCTGGCTCCCTGCGCCGCATTCCCACCTCCCTGCCCCTCGGCAGTCTCCGCTCCTTGGGGCCTCTCCCTCCTCAGCTTCTCTCCCACCCCTTCCCTCCCTCAGCAGCCCCTGCCCTGTCCTTTTCTCTCCCAGCCTCCTCTCTCCCTCACCCCTTTCAACAGCCCCCCTTTCCTTCATCCTTCTAATCAAGGGCTCCCTCCTTTCTGCCGTACCTGCTTCTGCTCCCAGTTCCATTCCCTCGGCCAGGCTCCCACCTGCCTGGGGTTGAGGAGGCGCCTTGCGGGGACGGCAGCATGAGGAGTGCATGGGTGCACCTGCACTCTGGGCCCGCGTCGGGCCTGAGACCCTGCCTCTGCAGGAGCAGCGCGGCTCCCGAAGGCCCCCCTCGCTCTCCCAGCCGGCGTGGTGGCGGCGGCTCTAACAGCGAAGGTGGCATGTCCTTCGCAGGGGTGCTGTTCCTGCAGTTCGGGGAGGAGACTCGGCGCGTGCACATCACGCACGAGGTCAGCAGCCTGGACACGCTGCACGCGCTCATCGCGCACATGTTCCCGCAGAAGCTCACCATGGGCATGCTCAAGTCGCCCAACACCGCCATCCTCATCAAAGACGAGGCTCGCAACGTCTTCTACGAGCTGGAGGACGTCCGGTGGGCGTGGCCCCGGGGGAGGGGTGGGCTTCTCCAGGCTCCTCCTCTGGGGGGCGGCGCTCAACTCCGTGGGTCTCTCCCTCCCCTGTCTCAGCCCTTCTCCTCTCCTTCCTCCTCCGTCATCCCACTCCCTCCCCTCGAAATCATCTACCCCTGCTGGCTCATTTTTGGCTTAAGCTAACCTGCCAAGGGCGCACGAGGCAGAGGACATGGACGGGGTGGAGGCTGTGGAGTGTGTGTTGGTGGCAGGCAGTCCGAGGCACTGAGCAAGAAGTTAGGAAGAGGTTGGGGCTCTTGGCCCCTCTTGCCAACCCTCTTCCTGTAGAAGATACCCCTCTTTATCGCGGGGCTGAGGGATGGTGACCCATTGCATCTCCCCCCAGGGACATCCAGGACCGAAGTATTATCAAGATCTATAGGAAGGAGCCTCTTTACGCCGCTTTCCCTGGCTCACACCTTACCAACGGGGACCTCCGGGTATGGCTGGGGAACCCCAGGGCACTGGGGAAGCTGGGCAGATGGGGTCCAGGAGTACAGAGTCTAGTTACTTGTCAATAGAGACCAGGGCCAATTTTTGGAGAAGGGAACATAGAGGCTGAGGCAGAGGGTGGCTTCCACTAATTGTGGACATGAGGGTCCTTCCCCTCATCAGCCAAGCTCCATCCTCTCCATTCGGGATTTTTCCAAGAGGCCTCTAGGTATTGTAGGGGCCTCTGTCAGGAACCAGTGTTTCCCTTCTTGCTTCCCCAACCCTCACCAGAGGGTGGGCCGCAGGTTGCTCCTCTAGTTCCTCTCCATCTGCCACTTCTTCCTCTATGCTGGGAGCCCTGATGGGAAGGGGGCCCCAATACAGCAGGAACAAAGGAGGGCAGAGAACAGAAGGAACTTCTTAAGCGTCAGGGGGAAAGATGCTGTCTCCAAAAGCAAGGTGCAAGGGATCCCCTTTGTGACCAGCCCCGTGGGGTTCTGGGACTGTCTTCTGCACAGAGAGAGATGGTGTATGCTTCAAGGGAGTCATCGCCCACACGGCGTCTCAACAACCTGTCGCCGGCGCCGCACCTGGCGTCCAGCTCTCCGCCCCCGGGCCTGCCGTCGGGGCTGCCGTCGGGGCTGCCGTCGGGGCTCCCGTCCGGACTCCCCTCAGGGCTGCAGTCGGGCTCGCCGTCGCGCTCGCGCCTCTCCTACGCCGGGGGGCGCCCGCCCTCCTACGCTGGGAGTCCGGTGCACCACGCGGCCGAGCGGCTGGGGGGTGCCCCAGCCTCCCAGGGCGTCAGCCCCAGCCCCAGCGCCATCCTGGAGCGGCGCGATGTGAAGCCAGACGAGGACCTGGCAGGCAAGGCGGGCGGCATGGTGCTGGTGAAGGGCGAGGGCCTCTACGCCGACCCCTACGGGTTGCTCCACGAGGGCCGTCTGAGCCTGGCCGCGGCTGCCGGTGACCCGTTCGCCTACCCGGGGGCCAGCGGACTCTACAAGCGCGGCTCGGTGCGCTCGCTCAGCACCTATTCGGCCGCCGCGCTGCAGTCCGACCTGGAGGACTCGCTGTACAAGGCGGCGGGCGGTGGTCCGCTCTACGGAGACGGCTATGGCTTTCGCCTGCCGCCCTCGTCGCCACAGAAGCTGGCCGATGTGGCGGCACCCCCCGGAGGCCCCCAGCCTCCACACAGCCCCTACTCCGGGCCGCCCAGCCGCGGCTCGCCAGTGCGCCAGTCTTTCCGCAAAGACTCGGGCTCCTCGTCGGTCTTCGCAGAGAGCCCAGGAGGCAAGACACGCAGCACCGGGGGCTCCTCGACAGCCGGAGCTCCCCCTCCAGAGCTCTTCCCTGGGCCTGGGGAGCGCCCGCTGGTTGGGTTTGGGCCGCCCGTGCCAGCCAAGGACACGGAGACCAGGTGAGGGACGCTCAGGAGGCCTCAGGGCTCTTGGGGGGTGGGATGGAGAGAAGGGACACAGCAGAGTCTGTGGCAGGATTGTGTCCTGGACTGTGAGGCCCCAGAGTCCTTTGTAGACCCAGAGGAGTCTTGGAATAATTTGGATGTGGCCGGGAAGGTACTGGAGAGATGAACAGGCCATTTTCCTTCCTTCTGCAAGACCTGGGGGTTAGATAAAAGGGCCCCAGACAAGGTCTCTGGAAACCTGGGTTTGCATCTGTTCCCTGAACCTCAGTTTCCCCAACTAAAATTGAGGCTAAACAGCTTTCTAGTGCTTTTCCTGCTTAGTTTGCAGCCATAAGAGCTGTCCAGCACACTGTTGGCTGAAGTCCACTGGGGAGGGGATGCTGCTAAGAAATAGGGACGGGGAGAGAGGCACATTCCCTTAGGTAGCCTCCAAGCTGGGGAACCCTTACGCATTATTCAGCTCCATCCTAAGGGTGCAGGGCTGGAGGGGGTACCCAGAGCATTGACCTATCCCTTCTGTCCTCAGGCAGTGCTGCTGAGAGATGAGCAGAAGCAATTCACATTCACACAGCTGTCTTGTGGCTGTGTGCCAGGCACGGCACTGGGCACTGTGGATGCTGAATTGGGCAAACCTGGTTCCTGCCTTGTCTGGTGGGGGTGACACACTAAAAAATACTTGCACTTCCCTTGGGAGGGTGTATAGGTGGTGTGGGAGGAGGGACTCTTTAAAGCTGCTGGGGCTCTGGAATGGCTTCAGGAAGAGGTCAGGAGGAGGGCATGCCCAGGAAGGGGGAACATGTGCAGAGGCACAGAGAGGCCTGGGTGGGGCCCATTAGGGAGCCAGTAATGAGAGATGGGGCTGGCAAGAGGAGGCGTGACAGTCAGATGGTAAGGGGCCTTAACAATGTTGGGTGGGGGCCCTTTGAATTGTCTGTATGCTGGTGGCTGGGGAGGGAATAGTATTTCCTCTAATTATCAATCTTAAGAATGAGGGGCTGGGCAAGAGGGACCCCAAGCCCAGAGAAGGAGTTGCTCAAAGCCACCATCCTCCCCAGGGAGCGCATGGAGGCCATGGAGAAGCAGATTGCCAGCCTCACAGGCCTGGTACAGAGCGCCCTACTACGAGGCTCGGAGCCTGAGACCCCTAGGTAAGGTTCTTCTTTCAGCACCATTGCCAGGGCTTATGGCTGGAGCAAGAGGAAGGGAAAGTAGGCAGCAGCAGCAGTGCTGAGCCCAGCTCTGCCAATGTCTCAGTGTGTGACTCTGGGTGAGCCCTTTTCCTTCTCTGGGACTCCATCCTGACATCAGGGGACTGGAGGAGATTACATTAAAGTCTCACTCAGCTTTGACGGTCTGGGGTCAGCCTGGACCCTCTGATGGCCATCTTTTCCCTGTGCCACAGTGAGAAGATTGAAGGCTCCAATGGAGCAGGCACCCCCTCAGCACGTGAGTGGCCCCTTGCCCCTCCCCCACAGGTACTTGCCCTCTCTGAGCTTCAGATTCCTAATCAGCAAAGTGGGAATTAAACCATCAGCTACATCCCTGGGCTTCAGTGGATCAATGAGCAGTGACCTTAGCCCAAGATGGCTTTGCCCTGGTGCTTTGCTCCCCACAGAAGGGCTGACCCACAAACTGGGGCAGGGAGTCAGAGCCACGTGCTTCTCTGGCTACTGTGAGGATCACGGGTGGGAAGGACCTTGTCCTGGCCCCTTGCAGGCTCAAGGTTTGTTGCCTTTCTCCCATCCTCGTGGTCCCTGTCTGCAGCCTGCGGGTCCGGCAGCCGGAGCAGCGGGGCCACCCCAGTGTCCGGCGCTCCCCCGCCCTCAGCCGGCAGCACTCCTGCGGGGCAGCCCACGGCCATCAGCCGTTTGCAGATGCAGCTGCACTTGCGTGGCCTGCAGAACAGCACCAGTGACCTGCGTAGCCAACTTCAGCAATTGCGAAAGCTCCAGGTACTGGCGCCTCGTCCCCATGCCCAATCCCTTCAAGCCCCTCCCCGATAGACCCCACCCACTCGCGCCGAACGCCCTCTCCACAAGTCTCGTCCCATCCCCTACGCCCTCATCGGAATCCCTTGCGGTTCACCAAGGCCTTCTGCGAACCCTTTCTCCCATTACCCTGCCTTGAGCTCCCGCTCGCTCGCTGAATCACCGCTCGCCCTAGTTCCCCTCACTGCTCTCTCCTTCCCCTTCCCTGAATAATCACGTTCTCCTGGAGCCCCAGTCCACCCCACTGAGCCCCCTCCACCTGTCAGTATCCCTCAGGGCAGTCCCAATTCCTTCCTGCCCAGCATTCTTTCTCCCCTCCCCTCTCTGGCGGAAGCCCTCCGCGTAGATCCCCTCCGCTACCCCTTCCCCAGTCCGCACAGTCTTCCCCGCTCTGCCCCGCCTGGCAGATGGTCCCACCAGTCAGGAGCCTGGCATCGCTGTGCCCGCTCCTCGAGTGGGCCTTGGGGCCCGTCAGGTGAGACTAATGAGCAGAGACAGGCTGGAGAGGGGGCAGAGAGTTGCCATCTGGGCAGCGGGTAAGATCTCACCCACCCGCGTCATTGCCCCAACTCGACCTTAGAACTGGGTTCGAGCGTTAAGTTAATCTTGGCCAGCCACGGAAGCTCTATCAAATCCCAGAGCTCGAGTCTTTGATGAAGCCACAGCCATGCAGCCGCACGGTCAGCACGGCCCTCCATTCGGCTACCTCCTGCCCCCAAACATGCCCACCCGGTTCTCCTGCCTCTGTATTTCCCCAGCCCGCAACCTTGTCCTCCGCCCCCTTCCACCACAGCCCTTCGCTGCTGCTCACGGCCACAGCCACGCAGCCGCACGTTCTGCATGCCCCAGTGTAGCTAGCACTTCTCCCTCCACTGTCCCCGTGCCGCCCTCTTTCTGCCTCTATTCTTCCCCGGAATTTAGCCCTGGGCCTCTGCTTCCCCCGTCCCGCCCTTTCACTGCTGCTCACGGCCACGGCGCAGCGGCCACTTTTTCTGTGGAGCCCGCCCAGCATCGGGCTCTCCTCTGCCCGCCTCCCCCAGCTCTTCCCCTGCTGAGCACTTCCATCCCCTCCCACCCCTGTCCATCGGTCCCTCTGCGTCCCGCAGCTACAAAACCTGGAGTCGCTGCGCGCGCTGCTGAAGGGCACGGAGGCGGAGCTGAGCATGCGCGTGTCGGAGGCGGCGCGGCGGCAGGAGGACCCGCTGCAGCGGCAGCGCACCCTGGTGGAGGAGGAGCGGCTGCGCTATCTCAACGACGAGGAGCTCATTACCCAGCAGCTCAAGTGAGGCTTGGGGAGGGGGGAGGGCTGGGGGTGCGGCCTGGGCGGCAACCTGGTTTCCCTGGGAGGCGCAGCTCCCTTCTTCTGAATCACAGGTGACGTTGGTTTGGTCTGAAGCCTGATTTCCTTCTCCTCTGGCTTGATTTCTCTGTGACCCACAAACCTTTGACCATCTGGCACAATTCCTGATTTCTTCGCTTTCTTTCTTTTTTTCTTTCTTTTTTTTTTTTTTTCCTGGCTTGATGCCCTGCTTTTGCTATGTTTTTGCTTCCTCACTGTCCACAGTCTGGCTTCTCCCTGACCTGAGACCTTACTTTCATGTGGCAGCTGCAGGATTCCACTCTGTCCTCTCTCTGCTTTCCTTCTGCCCTATGACCTGTACAGAGTGACCCTTGGGTAGCCGCGACTGCCACTACTCCAGTTCCCTGATCTCTGAGACCAGGCATTGCCAAGGGAAACCTTTCTTCCGTCCTGGTGCTGCTGAAACAAGGCTCTTGCTTTTTCAGAGAGAGTGAGGAATGGAGAACACCCAGCTCCCAAATGCTTAGACTTGGAAGGGTTAACAGGAGACAGTCCTCTGATCCAAATTTAGCAAATGGCTGTCTGGCCAAGATCCCATTGTCTGGCACTGTGGAAGGGAGAAGCTGCCTTTTGCTGTCCATCCACTGAGTGAGCACCCCCCACCCCACAGCAGCCTTCTCTTGTCAGTCACTGGGATCTGCTCCTTTCTCTGGCCTCACTCTTGGTGGCCCAGGGCACAAAGGGACCCGAGATCTAGCTCCAGCATCGAGAGACCATGTTATATGGGCAGTTTCTGCCCTCCTCTGCGTCTCAGCTCCCTTATCTGTCCCCAGTATTGAGATTTTTGCGGTTCTTTCCAGGGAAAGAACTTGCTTGGGTTCTACCGGCCAGTGACTTGGGGAGCCAGGAGAGGCTTCTCAGAGGAGCCCGGCTTGCAAGGGGCTCCTAGAGAAGGGTCCCTACTTCTCAGTCTTGAGCCCACACAGCCTGTGTACTTTGAGGTTCCCATGACCCCTTGTGGCTGAGATGAAGTCAGGGCCAGTCTCATTTGGAAATAAGCTGGCGGCAGCCATCCCATCATTTCAGGTGTGAAAGCTTAGTGACAACCTCAGTCAGATCTCCAAGTAGACTGGCAGCTCTCACCCTCCACCCCACCCAGAGAATTCCATTTACCCAACTTTTCTGTCCTCTCCTTGCCTATGCTTTTCCTTTGGCACAGGGGAGCTGGGTTGAGATTTTTTTTTTTTTTTAAGATTTTATTTATCTGACAGAGAGATCACAAGTAGGCAGAGAGGCAGGCAAAGAGAGAGGAAGGGAAGCAGGCTCCCTACTGAGCAGAGAGCCCGATGCGGGGCTCGATCCCAGGACCCTAAGATCATGACCTGAGCCGAAGGCAGCGGCTTAACCCACTGAGCCACCCAGGCACCCCTGGGTTGAGATTTTTAAAGGGAACTTTACTGAGACATTAAAGGAAAATAAAAGAAAATATAAAAGTACAGAGGCAGAAAAGATGAAAGGACAGATTTAAGCTTCTGTCATTGGAGCGTCTAGTCCGCTGCCTCTTGTGGGCCTCAGTTCTCTGGGAGCACACAGACTCCCTACCCTCTGTCCTGTTATCAAATCCCTTGTTCAAGCTGCTCACTTGTGAGAGCTTGGGGGCTGATCCATTGCTTCGGGAAGGATTCTCCGTGAACTTTGAAGGGGCTTCTTGCCTTTTTCGGGGGACATCAGCCCTGAGGTGGCTCTGGCTTGGCTATGAGAGCCCTCCCTGCCAGCTCCTATAGCATCCCTGGACACTAGGTTGACCAGCAGACCTGTCCTTACCCTTACTCTAGCTGTAGCGCCTACAGGATTGTGCTTACTCTGCTTTGCACCGTTCCTTCCTCTTGCCCCGGCATCTTGCTGGAAGGTAGGGCCAATTCCGTGCTTCATTCAATGTGGCTCTCTAACCTGTTTTTGTAGCCAAGCACTTGAGCTCTGTCTAGACATTACCCTGAGGGGTACCCTCTGCTGACTTGAGACCTTCTGGCCTCTGGAGCCTAACTTGGACTAAGCCAGCATGGGCTTTGTCGGCCCGCTAACTGCACAGCTACACAGGGCCCCACACTCCTCATGGCCCCATCCTCTACTGTTGTCATCTTGAAATTCTTAATAACTTTTTAACTAGGGGCAAAATTCATTTTTTATTAAGCCCCAGGAATTATAGAGCTGGTTCTGTCCTGACCTGGTGCTCTCCACCCCTCCAGGACTGAACCTGGGGCAGGGAAAGCCCAGCCACTTTCTGCTAATGGTGTCTAGACGTAGACCAGTCTGGGGCTCATTTGTAGAACTTGTCCAAATCAGCCCTCCCAAAACTTTGGCAGGTTTCATGATCAGAAAATCGAAGTGCTAATTGAGCCTGAGGAGGACCTCGCAACTTCTGCCCGGGAGTTGCAGTGTTGTGTCCTCCTGATAGCTTACCTGAGTCCTCCTTTAAATGAGGGTCTCTTCCCCCACAGAGCAATGTTAGGGAGTGACCATTTTACAAAACAGGCACACCCTGAGCCAGCCCGTCCCACACACACAGCAGGGAAGATCAGTGGTTCTTTCCCGCCTGGCGGAGCAGGGACAGGAATGGGTATGGCATGATCCAATGGCATAAGTCAACATGAGTAAGATTCTGCTTTGCCACAAAATAGTTGTATAACCTTCAACAACCCACTTCATCTCCCTGAGCCCCCCCTTTTTTTTAAATACAAAAGATAATTGTGTTAGGGTAACTGCTATAAAAAATTCTATAATGGTTCAAAAGTAATGGACACATCTTTTTTTTCTCATGGACCACTACTGGGTGGGTTAGTGGAATGACCTCTTCCATGGAGTCCTTCAGGGACCCAGAGGTTTGGCCGTCTTCAATATGGGCCTTCCGAGATCGTTCACAGGGTCATTGCCTTTCACCCCATAGGAAGGGGAAAGGAGCATGGAGGAGCTTATGTGGGAAGCTTTTATGGGACAGCCTGGAGGCAGCATGTCCCCCTTCAACTCCCATCTCATTGGCTGGACCTGAGCCATGGCCTTTTCTAAGTGCAGGGAGGCTGGGAAATGTAGTCTGGTGTTTGAACTCCTGTCTGTGTGTAAACCGGAGGTAATAATGTCTTCCATGCCCAGGATTTTTGGTGAGGATTAAATAACGTAATGAAGGTGGAAGGCTGCCCATGGCACCTGGCATACAGTAAGCACTCAGCACAAGAGAGTGCTTCAGCTGGCAGTGCTGAGTCACGGGATCTTGTCCTTGCTCCAGTGTGGTCTGTCTTTTCATCCACTAATTGGATGAAGATGTATAGGCATGCTGATAAGATTTGCTAGTGACACAGCGCTTTGAGGGGGAGCAAATCTGTCGGGTGGTAGAACTATGATTCAAAAGTTGTTCCCACCTGGGTTGTTGAGCTGAAATCCAGCAGATGGGATGTGACAAGGATGTGTGTAAAGTCTTGCATGTGGGTCAGAAATGTCAGTGACTCACGTCACAGAACTGAGATGACCTACCTGGGCAGCAGTTCCTTCTTTCACTTACCCATTCATTCCAGAATTATTTACCAGACATTTACTCTGCTCCAGGCACCAGGCCAGAGGCTGGCGCTTGGAGATGAATCCAGAAGACACGGTCCCTGCCTGCCAGGAGCTACACAGCCCAGCTTGCAAGAGCTCTGAGGGTTTGTGAGGCAGGAAGCAGACCCCCAACCTCAAGTGTAGGGAGTGGGGGAGCAGTTCCCATTGAGACCGGAGGGAGGAGTGGGTCTTAGTCACACGTGTGCATGTATGTGTGCCTGTGTGTGAGTGTGTGTGTTTGAATGGAGTGTTCTAGGCAGAGGAAATGGCATTATAAAGGCCCAGAGAGGGCAGCACATACAAGGACCTTGGAGAAGTTGTGGACGGTTCTAAACAGAAGCAAGCTGGATGAGGACAGGGGATATGGCTGGAGGGAAATTAAGAGAAGCCCCCAGGGATTGGCCCTTTGCCACCCTTTTCTCATCTTCATTGGCTCATTTATTTAATTTTTAAGGATTTTGTTTATTTATTTGTGTGTGTGTGAGAGAGAGAGCATGAGCAGGGGCAGAAGGAGAGGGAGAAGCAGGCTCCCTGCTGAGTAGGGAGCCTGATGCCTGGGACCATGACCTGAGCCAAAGGCAGATGCTTAACTGCTTAACCACCTGAGCCACCCAGGTGCCCCAGCATTAGCTCATTTAATCTTCACAATTGCCCCTAGAGGTGATAACTCTTCCATCTCCATTTTTTGCACAAGGAGGTTGCAGTCCGGACATAGTATGTAAATTGTTCAAGATCTCTCTTCTGGGAGGGGCAGAGCTGATATTGGAATTTGGATCTGTCTAACTGGAGAGCCTACTTTTCACCTACTCCCCTCATGCCCTTCTTTGCTTGGAGTTTAGCCTCAGGATGAGGGGATCTACATAGGGTTCAACAATGGGGAATGACTTGGTGTGACTTACATTTTAGAAAGACGTGGAGTTTAAAACGGCACAAGCTCAGCATAAACCCTCTGACAGTTGAAAGCAGTTTTGTCCTCAAGGAAAGAAGCTGAGTGTCTGGATATTTGAGAGAAGGTAGCCGGACCCGTCCATGCCCCGCTTCAAGAGGAGAGCTCATAGCACGTGCAGATGCCTGCAGTTCTCAGAAAGGCCGCTAGGGTCGCTGCTGCTTCCTTGGCAGAATGAGAACCAGAGGATTCAAGTTATTGGGAGAGAAAGTTGCTAAAGACCAGAACTTGAACGGTGCTGAGGGAGCGGGGGGGGGGGGGGGGGGAAAGGGAGCAGGGGGGGGGGTGTACCCAGGACACGTATTCGGGAACTCATCTGAAGTCTCATCTTTGGGGTTTGGCATTTCTGATTTTGTTTGGGCACGTAGCCTGGTGGATGGCTTTGAATTTTGATCTGGCTGGTGGCCTGCTTTCTTGCCATTTGGTCAATTTCAGGGTGCTGGGCTGGGGCCAGAGGGGCTCAGAGGGTCTCTCTCTGGTTGCAGTGACCTGGAGAAATCAGTGGAGAAGATCCAGCGGGATGTATCCCACAACCACCGGCTGGTGCCGGGCCCAGAGCTGGAGGAGAAGGCACTGGTGCTGAAGCAGCTCGGGGAGACGCTGACCGAGCTCAAGGGTGAGCCCAGAGGCGAGGACATGAGAGTGCCGCCTGTGGTCCCGGACAGGAGTCCCTGCTGCCACCCCACCCCCACTCCCAGGCCTGCCCTCCCTGCGGCCCCTCCTCCCTGTCCTTGGAGCTGCTCTCTCCCCAGCTCACTCCTTCTGGTCCCCCCAGCTCACTTCCCAGGCCTGCAGAGCAAGATGCGGGTGGTGCTGCGTGTGGAGGTGGAGGCCGTGAAATTCCTGAAGGAGGAGCCACAGCGCCTGGACGGGCTTCTCAAGCGCTGTCGTGGGGTCACGGATATGCTGGCCCAGATCCGCAGGTCTTTCCCTCTCTGACCTATCTCCGACTTTCCATTTCTCAGGAGGTCACACGCCCGGGCGCAGTTCGCTAGATCAGCCCAACCCCTTACCCTGACTCCTCTAGAGGTCACTGACTTACCAATGGATCTGTACCTCCACTCTGACCTGCGACCCTGGCATGGTGTAGGCTCAGCTCTCCCTTATGCTGGATGTGCTCACTCCTCCCCAGGCCCCTTCAGTGGGCCTGCGAGATCCCAGGGCCCTCCTCACACCCTGCCTCCCCCAGGCCAGGCTTCCCTTGCATGGGGCCACCAGCCGCGGGCCTCACAGCGACTCCCAACTCTCCCTACCCCAGGCAAGTGGACGAGGGTGTGTGGCCACCCCCCAACAGTCTCCTGAATCAGTCCCCCAAGAAGGTGACCGCTGAGGCAGACTTCAACAAGAGCTTGGACTTCGAAATGCCACCCCCCAGTCCTCCACTGAACCTCCATGAGCTGAGTGGGCCAGCCGAGGGAGCCCCTCCTACGCCCAAGGGGGGCAACCCCACCAAAAGCCTGGATGCTGCTGGCAAGAGAAGTGTGGACAAGGCCGTGTCTGTTGAGGTGTGAGGGCCGGGACCGGGGTGGGGTGCATGAGCTCGGCCCACACATTCTTCCCGCCGTCCGAGATGGAGGTGCCAACAAGTGGGTACTCTTTCCTGGGGGAGGAGGAAGTCTGAGAGACACATTGATGATGGCGTGAGTTCTGCCAGACAGAAAAACATTTTATAAAATGATAACAATCAAGGCAGTGTGGTGTAGGTCTAAGAATAGACTATGTGGTCAATGAAACAGAATACAATGTTCCAAAACAGGGCTAAGTATTATCAAGAGAGTAGTATATAATGGTGGTGGCATTCGGACTGACAGGGAAAGCATAGGATGCTCAAGAAGTCTGAGTGTCCCCTGGGGGCTGGACCAAACTTCCTTCTCCCTTCCTGGCGTGTGTGGCTGGGGGAAGGGACTGGAGCCCCTGCTTCAGGGCTGACTCCCGCTTCTCCTCTCCAGGCTGCCGAGCGGGACTGGGAGGAGAAACGGGCCGCCCTGACCCAGTACAGCGCCAAGGACATCAACCGGCTGCTGGAGGAGACCCAGGCAGAGCTGCTGAAGGCCATCCCTGACCTGGACTGTGCGAGCAAGGCCCACCCAGGCCTGGCCCCCACCCCTGACCACAAGCCCCCGAAGGTCCCCCACGGCCAAAAGGCAGCCCCTCGGACAGAGCCCAGTGGAAGGAGGGGCTCAGGTATGGGGGTGGGTAGGGGACTGGTGAAGAGCTCAGGGGAGGGGAGCCCCATCTTCAGGAACTCTCAGGTTGTTGGGGGAGGCACCCAGGTGTGAGAATCTCTGGAGTCAGACGACCAGAGAGGGGAGGTGCTGGGACCTCAGCCATCTGACCCTTAGCCACTGTAGGGAGACCCAGAGGACAGGGCGGAGCTGGACTCCATCTGGGGATCTTCTCACCACCCTGACTGTGGCTGAGAGGCCCACACAGGGAGGAGGAGCGAATCTGGGCCTAGAGTCACCGCCTGCACGTTGTGACCAAGCGTGTTCTCTGACCCAGGCGGCACGGAGACCAGAGTGGTGCTGGTCCTCGTAGACGTGGATTTTGTGCCCCGCCCCACCCCAACCCCAAGCTGTGAGCACACAGGGGAGGCAGAAATCTGACCAGAAATAACAGTCATCATTCCTTTATTTATTTATTCCTGTTCTCTGTATTTGTCAAGCACCTACTGGGTGCTGGCAATAAGGAGAAAAGACACTGCTTGTTTTCAAGGAGCTTAAAATTTAGAAGGGGTGTACTACTAGCATTTTTGCTTATCAAGCATGTATTATGTGACAGGAACCATCCCCGATGCTTGCTTTCTTTCTTTTTTTAAATTTATTTATTTATTTATTTGACAGACAGACATCACAAGCAGGCGGAGGCGGGGCGGGGGTGGGAGCAAGCTCCCCACCGAGCAGAGAGCCCGATGTGGGGCTTGATCCCAGGACCCTGAGATCATGACCTGAGCTGAAGGCAGAGGCTTTAACCCACTGAGCCACGCAGGCGCCCCCAGATGCTTTCTATATAGTAATCCTGATACTTCTGCAGCAGCCCCAGGGGCGGCTACAGTAATTATTCCCATTTCACAGATGAGGACACTTAGGGCTCAGCGTAGTCAAGGAATCTGTCCTGGGCCCCACTCAGCGTGTGAACCAGACACAGGATTCAGGTGCTAACTGCAGGAGTCGGGCACAGGATGCCCCGGGAGGGCAGGGAGGGCTTCCCACTGCACGGCACTTCCCCTGGGCGTCTTGAAAACAAGTAGGCCTTTCCCTGGCCAGTGAGAGAAGGCATTTCAGGGAGAGGGAAGGGTGTGTGTGAATGCCTGGAGGGGTGAGTCCAGTGTTGCTGAGCGGGGTTCCGGCCAGGAAGGAGCAAGCAGAGACTGAAAGGTTGGCAGTCGTGGAAGGTGCTGGGCCAAAGAGCATGGACATGGTTTGAGGTCATGGGGAGCCATGGGGTCTCTAAGGCAGAGGAGTGTGGGGTTTGAGTGACTTTTCTGTAGGTTGCCCTGGAAACTGCACCCCCCCCCTCACCCAAGGAAACGGGCAGGGAGAGCCTGGTTGGGTGGCGTCAGACCCTCACAAGTGTAACCTCCCATCTCTTGCTGGAGAAGAGAGGAAGACAGGTGCGGAGCCGCAGCTGAAGGGCAGGGGAGAAAGGGATGTATTTGGGCACGCTTCTCAAACGTGGATGTGTGCATGAAATCACCAAAGATCCGTCAGAATGTGGATTCTGGTTCTGCAGCCATGGGGAGGCCTGAGCTTCTGCATTTCTAATAAGCTCCCAGGTGCTGCTGGGGCTGCTGGTCAGCTCATCCGTGGCCCGGTGGACCGCACTTTGAGTACACTAAGAGGGGTGCCCGGCCTGTGGGGAGGTGAGAGAGAAGGAGGAGGGGCCCGTGTCTTCTTCCCGAGACTTCCCCTCCCTTCCTGCCTGGAGGAGGAAGCAGGGTTCCCCCCCTGGGTGCCCGGACTCCAAGATTAAGGGTCCCCTGATGCCCAGCCCCTTGGCTGCCCACAGATGAGCTGACAGTGCCTCGGTACCGCACGGAGAAGCCCTCCAAGTCGCCCCCGCCGCCCCCGCCCCGCCGGAGCTTCCCTTCCTCCCACGGCCTCACCACCACCCGCACGGGAGAGGTGGTGGTCACCAGCAAAAAGGACTCAGCCTTCATCAAGGTACCGACCTCACCTTGAGCGGTGGGATACCCGTGGTGACCTGTGAAGACCCTCTGGGACGGAAGGAAAGAAGGGGGCTGGCGGTCAAGGGCGACTCTGCCTCCAGCTTGGGCTTCGCCCTGGAAAGGGGGCCACCTGGGAGGGCCAATGAGGAGCTGGGGCAGGAAGTGGTCTGGCCCTGATGGGGCCTAGGAGGTGAGCTGGTGCTGGAGGGGGGCGGAGCCTTGCCTTGACGGGAAGGCCTGGGTCTTGCAGAAGGCGGAGTCCGAGGAGCTGGAGGTGCAGAAGCCCCAGGTGAAGCTGCGCCGAACCGTGTCCGAGGTGGCCCGCCCCGCCTCCACGCCGCCCATCATGGCCTCTGCCATCAAAGATGAGGACGATGAGGACCGTATCATCGCGGAGCTAGAGGTGGGTCAGGGGCTTGCCTGGTCCCCCAGTCCTCAGCCAGGCCCGTCCCTTTCTCCACCAAGCTGACCCCGGGGAGGGTGTGGGGAGGGGATGACTGGGCTCCTGGGCTCCTGCTGAGGGCTGGCCTGTGCAGGAACCTGTCCTTGCCTCGATTTCTCTGCCACTGTAAAATGGGGGGAGGGGTCTAAAGTCCCTCTCTGCAGGGTTGAGTGTTTTTTATTGCAGTCTCCGAGACCCCCACAACAGCCCTGAGACCTCCTAGGCTCTGGCACACCCATCCCTGAATGTTCTGAGAACAGAGTGCTTTAACACCCTGATCCCCAAGTCCCTTGAGCCCCCCGCCCCGTGCTGTAAGTCACCCATACTCAAGTGTTCTCAGCCCCCCTCCCCAAGGGGCTGGAGATCCTGACCACCTAGGCCTCCGGAGGAGGAGACAAGACGGAGGGGAGAGTGGCCAGTGAGCACGGTGAGGGGCCAAGGAGTAAGGCTGCGATCCCTCCCTGCGGGCCATGGGCCAGCAGCCCTGTCCTCCCTGTGCCCCCTTCTCCAAACCTGCCCCCACCTTCTGCTCCCCAGGTGTTTGAGAGAAGCTCAGTGTCTTCCCTTCCCCCCACGCCCCGCCGCCAGCCGATCCCCACCTTGCTGGCACCCCAGGACCTGGGGCCCCCTGGGGGCTCAGCCCAGGGCCCCACATGGAAGGTAACGGGCTGCCCCCCACCTCTCACGGCTCTCTTCTGCCTGTGCCTCCACACCTTCCTCTCCTCACCTCTCATGCTAACCTGCTAACACGCCAGTCACCTCCCCGAGTCCTGCCACCGCCACAGCCTCCCCTGCCTGGACTCACCCCTCCCCAGCTCCAAGGACAGATGCAGAACTTTCCTGCCCTCTCCACAGATCTAGCAGTCTGATACCCAGCAGCAACCATCCCCCCCCCACCTGCCCCGGCTGCATTTTTCTTACAGGCTCGATTCTAAGTTGGGTATTTTGTTCGAAGCTGCAGCCAGAGTTTACGTCTGACCCAGAGCCTGGGTTTTGTCTTGGTCCAAAATTGGAGCTTGGATCCTGCTCACTACATGACTTTAGGTCCAACTCAAAATCTGACTTCGTCCTGAGCCCTTGTCTAGTCCCTGCTCTCCCCAACGCCCTCCTCCACCCCCAGGGCCTGGTGGGGCTCTCCTGCTAGAACGTATGCCTTGCGCTGGGGGCCAGGACACCCCAAAGTCTAATTTACAGCCCTCTTCTCTCCCATGGCCCCAATGGTCAGGGAACTTGGAGTAGAAGAAAGTCATGCCCTTCCTTGGCTGCTGGTTCTTTCTTTCAGTGTTGGGAAGTTCTTCCTTCTCTTTAACTTCAGTCCTTGCTGCTGTCCTGCTGCACTTATTTTCTCCTTATCTCTTCTTGGGAATGTTGGGTTGGACCTGCTGTCTGCACCCTGAGGGGACTGCACTCAGGGAGGGGGATCTGGGGGTGGTGGTCTGGAAATCTCTCCCTCTTCCCATGCAGTTTGGGACAGGAGAGCCTCTGCTCTGAGGAGGGCAGCCTCCACCATACGCGTGCTCACCACCTTGGCTGGTTCTCTTTAGCCCACTGTGAGCTCTGTGCTGGCTGCCACCTCATTTCTGGTCTGGCTTGAGGCTTGTAGTGCTTTGACTCCTTGGCTGGGGGAGCAGATAGGTGGACAGCACCGTTTGCTGGGCGAAGGATGGGCATAGAGCAGTCTAAGGAGCCGTCTGGGGATGAGTGGTGCGCAGGGGGTGCCCCCTGGACTGGCTGTGCCCTTGGCAGTTTGGCCCACTGCACCGAGCCCCTGCCTCTGTCTGGCCTCTGGGAGCCAGTCCTGAGGGGGTCCAGTGGGCAGAGCCCCTCTGCCAGCCTTTTGGGTCAGCTTACCCTCTACATCCTGAGATGCCATCGGGCCGTGGAGCCGGGCAGGCGTGGGTCGCCTCTCTGCTTTCCCAGTCTGCACCCTCCACTTCCATCCAGGTAAGCAGGTGGTAGGGCTGGGTGGGGTGCCTTGGGAGGGGGGGCTGGAGGTCCTGCTGCCCCCCCAGAATATCCCCTCATGGCTCTTCTAGTGGAAAGAGCACTGGGCTTGGAGTCAGACTGCCTGGGTTCAAATCCTGGCTCTGCCACTAGCTAGTTGTGGGTAAGTGACCTTGGGAGAATCACGTGACACCCACCCTTGATCTCCTCATCTGTCAAGTGGAGACTATAGGAGCGCTTGCCGTGTCGTGGGTTATAGTAAGGACTCAAGATGAAGACAGATATGATGGTGCCTGGCACAGGGCTCTGCTGGTCTGAATGAGACCAGAATTCACTCAAGTTGGGGGGTAGTGAGTGGCCCCCCACCTCCCCAAAGCCGGAGCAGGGTTTGCTCACACAGAAGCAGTCCTCTGGCTTTGCACAGTGTGTGTGCAGCCGAGGGACATAAGCCCTGCCCCTTGTGGCTGTGAAGTCCTTGGGAAAGCTCCAGAAGTAGGGGCTGAGGGGCTGGATCTCTCTGGCCTGAGAAGAGCACAACAGCCCCAGCCTCTGAGGCCAGAGACTGCTCAGGTCCATTTGACAAAGAGCTAATATCGGTCGCGTGCTCACAATGGGCCGGGCGCTGTTCTAAGCCCACGCACACGTGAGCACACTGAGTTCTCCACCACCTCCACGCTATTGTCACCTCCTTGCACAGGTGGCCAGACTCCTGGCAGTGCCCGTGGGCCTGCTCCCAGAGTTTAACACGGGCAGTGAGAGGCAGACCGGTGTCTGTGCTTCTGGGGAAACCAGCGTCTCTGCCAGAAAGTGGGGGCCCGGTGTGTGGGGTAGGAAGAGCCCTGAGTTCTAGTCCCAGCTTTGTCTCTGATTTGCTGAGTAAACTCAGTCACCGCCCTCCCTTGCCTCGGTTTCTCCATTGGTGCAGGAAGGGGCTGGGCTCACCCGCGTCTAACTTCCCATCCCAGCTCAGGGCGTTCGGTCTGCAGGAATCAGACTCTCCCTCATCTCTCTTCTCCCCGCAGGCTGCCCCAAGCCCCAGGGCCTTTTGTGTCCCCCGGATCATCTTGACAGAGTGTACCCCCAACCCTCCCTCCCCACCAGAGGCCAGGCCTGAGGAAGCTGGTCCCAGGACAACTCCCACCCCGCGCCCCCGGACCCTGGCTGGCAGCGGGAGAGGCTGCAATGGTGCCCGGGCCCTGCCAGAGGTTGTGGCCAAGGCTTCCCAGCCCAGGAGCCCCTTGCCACATGAGAAGGAAGGGACAGCTCTGAAGAGATGGGGGATAGAGAGCTGCAGCCCAGTGGAAGGAGGAGCTGGGGCTCCCTGCCCTTGGGGACCAGCCCTTGACGGGACTCAGGAGCTCTCTACTGCTGACACCCAGCCTGAGAAGACCCCCAAGGACACCAGACAGGATGCCCAAGCCGGCAGTGGGGAGCCCAGGGGCCAGCCTGCTGCAGGTCTAGGCTGCACAGTGAGAGGCGCCCCCACCCAGCGGATGGACAGCCTGGAGGAGACTCTCCGGGAGCTAGAAGCCGCCCTGAGCCAGATGGGCACTGCCCTCGCCGTGGGGCCCCCCGGCAGCCCCCCACCCCTGCCACCCAGTCCCCAGGTGGCTGCCTCCTCCCCTAGCCTCTCCTCCTGCCTTCATGCTCTGATCTCTTGATCCTCAGAGCTGGAGGGAGTGGGGGGCTGCAGGAGCATCACGCCAGCCCCCTCCTCCCACTGGCCTTTTCTCAGTTCCCGCCAGCCTCCTGGGAGCCCTGCGCCAGGTGGGATTTGCAGGCAGAGCCCCGGGAGGCTGGGAAGCCGGCCTACCCAAGGATCGGCCCAAGCAACCCTGGCAGGGACCAGGTCCTCTCCCCTCTGCTCTGTATCTATAAACCAACAAATAAAGTTCTCTCCTCCTTTTCCATCCCCACGTTCCCTTCCCCCTCTCCTGTCAGACTCTCTGTGCCTCTGTTGTTTCTCTGTCTGCGCCTCTGAACCCCCAGCGTCATCCTGGGTAGGGTGGTACCTGGGATGGTTCAGAGTTGCTGGACTTGTCCATCTCTAGTGAGACTTCCCCCCCCATCCTCCCTTTCAGAGGAAGATGTGGGTCCCACCCCGTCTGCCATCACAGAGATCCCCCTGCAAATCTCAGTCTTGCTCTGGGACACCCAGAAAAGGGTCCCTTGCCAGGAAGAGGAGTGATGGCAGTGACTCTCACTTCAGAAGTGGCTCCCTCAGGAGGGTGTCTGCTGCCCTGGGCTGCTCAAGGAAACCACCAAAGAGCTCTGGCTGGGGAGCTGCTGGGAACGTGGCTGGGGGTCCCTGCCCCCTCTTCTGCAGGGAGGCCTGAACCCTGGCCTCAGAGAGTGGACCTGCGTCCTGGCCAGGGATATGGAGGCAGGGAGGTCTGAGGGTCTCCAGGTCTCAAAGGACCCACCCAGGCGGTCCAAGCCCCAGATACCCCCACCCAGGGCCTAGGATTCCTGTGTGATCCCACGTCCAACCCCCACCCTGTTCCTTTTCCTGCAGAGCGGTGGTGGCAGCGTGCCGCCCATGAAGGTGGTGACTCCGGGGGCCTCTCGGCTGAAGGCAGTGCAGGGCCAGGCGGGCAGCCCGGACAAGGGCAAGCACGGCAAGCAGAGGGCGGAGTACATGAGGATCCAGGCTCAGCAGCAGGTAGGCATGGCCCCGTGGGGGCGGGCGGGGCTCGGCCCCTCCTGGCCCCTCCCCTTCCCCTGTGGGATGGTGTGCTCCGGCTGTGTGGGCTGTGGCCCAGCGGCTCCTTGTCGGCACTCCTGTGTCCACCCCCATGCCAGCTGCCCAGAGACCTCCTCCCTGCTGGGACGGCCCCACTGGAGCCCTGGGCCATCTTTTCCCTCCTCCTGCTAACCCTCAGCACCCTGCATCTTGTTTAGAATATATATTTTCAATCAGGCCACTCCCCTTTTGGGAGACCCTCACCTGGTGGAGAAGGCCCTCTCCCCAGCCGCTCCTGGAAGAGGGGGAGGCAGCAGACTCGTCCCACCCTGGCCTGGGGTATGGGAGGAGGCTTCGATGTCCCTTTGTCTTCCTGCCTCTGCTCTGCTTCCTCTCCCTGGCTCTCAGGTCCCTGCCATGGGGTGGAAGGGGAACTGTGGCGGGGGGCGAGGGCACCCTACTATCTTCAGTCCTCCCTCTTGGCTCTCAGGCTATCTCCCACCTGAGGGAGAAACCAATTTTGCATCTGCTTTTCAGTGTTTGGGCTTTGGTGGCTTCCACTGTTCTCAACAGGGAGAGGGAGAAGTACCATGGCCCCCCGGTGGGGAGGCAGGGGTTCTGTGCCCTCTGTCAGATGTAGTCAACCGGCTTGGGGCAAGTGTAGAATGGACAACCTCACCCTTGAGTGATTCTGTCCTGTGATCCACTGTGTGGCCTGGTCAGAAAGTCCGGGGTGGTCCCTGGGCCTAGATACCAAGAGAGAACTTCGTGCACTCATTTGCTTCAGTAAGTGTTTCTTAGCAGCTCCTACGTGCCAGGCCTGTCGTGGGTGCTGGGGTGGGAGTGGGTACCGTGAAATGTCCAGATGCTGTGACCTGAAGAAGGTTCTAGGCTCCAAGGCAGGAGATTAGTGATGGCAAGTCAGGCTCCTTTCTTTACAGATGAGGGGACAGCTCAGAGAAGGAAAGGGGCTTCCCGAGGGCACACAGCAAGGTGGCATCAGAACCAGGACAGGACCGGGGGAATCACAAAGCCCTTCCCACCCCATGGCCCTGTGACAGCCCTGGGCTGCTGGTTCCCTGGAGGGACCAGTGGAGATGGGCCATCCTGGCCCCACCCACCCCTGACCAGCTCTCCTCCCCAGCTCCCTGCTGGCCCACCAATTTCCTCATGGGTCCCCAGAAACACCGTGCAAATTGCACCCCCAGCTCCTCATCCTGCCTGCACAGTGCCTGAGTTCCCCTCGTCCTGTGTCCGTCCTTCGTGTCCAGAACAGCAGCTGCTGCGCGTGGGGTGCTCCCTGAGCAGACACATACGTTCCCCGTTCTCCACACCACTCTGAGGAAGGTCCTTCTGATCCCCACACAGTAGAGGGGGAAACTGAGGCTTTAGCTATGGTCATGCAGCAGGATTGGCGTCCATACTACCTGATCCCCCACAACACACACACACCTTGCCTTCGGCCTCCCTAGCTGTAACTGCTCTGCCATCTCTCCCCCTGGACTCCCCAGCCTGGGGCACCCAGAGCCTCTCTCCGGCTCTTCTGTCACCTCTGTCACCTCTGTGGCCTCCATGCCCTCCCCTCTTTTCAGTCCCCAGCCCACTCGGCCTTCCCTCTTCCCTCCCGGTATCGGGCTAGCCCTCCCCGCCCCTCGCAGCTGCCCTCCCACACACACTTGCACACACACATGTTCACAGGGGTGCTGTGTAGGCCCTCCATTCCTCTCCTCCGTGGCCAGCCCTCACCCTGACCCCCTGACTCCTCGCTGGGTGTCTGTCCTCTGCACACCTCCTTGCCTCGCTGGGCCCTGCTTCCTCTTGGGCCTCTTTGCTTTTCGTACCACACACTCCTCTCCTGGGGCACCAGGTGCCATCTGTCCCTGCCCGGGGCTCTGTTCTGAGTGCAAGCCTGCCCCTGAGAAAATGTCACCCACCCCCCCGGGGCATCCTCCCACACTGGGGAGTCTCCCTCACCACCTACTGTAGGTACTCAGCTGTCTCACCCCCAGGGCCACAGGCCTGTCCTTGCCTCTCGCTTTCCCTTTCTGTTAGTCTTTCATTACCAAGCACCTTCTCCCCAACAAAGTAATAGATGTTCCCCATGGACATTTCTTAAAGAAGCCGGGATAAAAATCATCCTAGGCCTCATTACCTAAATGCATGTCCTTCTAGGGTCTCCCTGTCACTTCTGTCACCTCTAATGTATTTTCCCAGACCTGGGGGCTGGGGACAGGTGTGTGTAAATTGCAGATTTTGATGATGTCATTCCCCCAACTTCGAACCCAGGCCCACTGCTCCCTGCCAGCTGAGAAAATCAGAAATCCTACCCCTGCTTCCCAGGGCACTTCCGTGACCATCCTGGGTTCCTTCATCCTGGTTCTCCTGGTGCCCCACACTCTCAGTTTGCTCCAGCCACTCTGGGACACCTGGCCCTCTGTCCTCCGGGCCTGGACCATGCTCCCTATTAGCTCAGGCTGTGAACTTGGTCGAAGTCCTCTGCCTTCTGCTGGCTCTTCCCTCATCTATAAAATGGAGACAAGAACACAGCAGCAGGTTTCTTTTTTTCTTTTTCTTTTTTTTTTTTAAGATTTTATTTATTTATTTGACAGAGAGAGATCACAAGTAGGCAGAGAGGCAGGCAGAGAGGGGGAAGCAGGCTCCCCGCCGAGCAGAGAGCCTGATGCAGGGCTCCATCCCAGGACCCTGGGATCAGGACCTGAGCCGAAGGCAGAGGCTTTAACCCACTGAGCCACCCAGGCCCCCCAGCAGCAGGTTTCTGAGGTCACATCATACCAGGTGTGGGAAGGAACTGGGAAAGCCCCCAAGGGCCTTATGAAGGACAGTCCCCGTCATTGTCCGTTTGTACACTTGTCAGAGCTGAGGGCTGGGCAGAGGCCGTTCTCTCACCACGGGGTTCTAATACTTGGGGCTCAGAGCTGCCTTTGACCAGGACTAGGGGAAGGAGAATAAAAGTGCCGGGACCAGAGACACCAAAAATGGGGGCGGTGGTGGGGGGGAGGGTTCCGAGATGCGGCTGCAACAGTGCTGTATACTACAGAGACATCAGGGGAAATCATTGAGAAAGCCCATGGAGGTCATGCTTGAGATCCAGGGGAAGGATAGTGGCCAGATTCCCAGGGGGGCCAGCATCAGGGCCTACAGATGGGAAACCATGGATCCCTCCTCTTCTACTGTGGCTAGCAAATCTGTTGCACCCCTGGGGCATTTCCTCAGAGGGTCCTGCTGTCCCGTCATCCTGCCCGCCCCCCGGCATGGCTGCCTTCATTCCCCTGGGGGGTCCCAGGCCCACAAACCGGGTCACGAGCAGGAGAACCTTTCCCAGAAATCTCTAATCCCTTCCCTGTCTTCCCATTGCCGTTCCTGAATCGGTCACTGGCAAGAACGGAATTGCTCGAATTGGGTGAATTGCTCGGGACCTACCCTCCTTGGGCTGGGGAAAGGCCGACCGCTCCTGATAGACCAGGGCTTAATTCAGGCAGGATTTCCTCTGGAAGGAGGGCTTGCGGGCAGCGGAGGAAGCGGCACTGGGAATGGCCTGGAATAGGCGCCAGCAGGGTCTGCCTCAACAAGGTGACCTGTGCCTGTGTGGAGATCTGTGTTACAGCGTGGAGGGGCGCCGAGCACCTACCAGACGCTGACCTGCAGGAAGGGAAGGGGGGCGGGGCTCAGCCAGCTAGGTCCCGCTAACCTTCCCAGTCTCCCCTGGCTGGAAGTTGCAGGTGACAGCATCCTGCTTCTCCAGATGTAGTTGGGAGTGGCGGGACAGGGCTGGTGGGTGAGGTGAAGTGACAGGAGCTGTGTTACCAGAGAACCTCCGCAGCCAGGGACAGGGCACGGGGTGCGACGGGCATGTGCTCCCTCCGCTTCCGGAGGGGTGCCTTCTGTGTCACCTCGGCTGGTCTCCGGGGAGGGAAGGCAGCTGAGAGGGCAAACAGGTGCTCGCAGAGCAGCCCCAAGCCTTCCAGGTCTCCGTGAAGGAGCAGGGGTGCGTGTCTGCGCAGGCCACTGACCACTGCCGCGGCTCCTGTGGAAAGGCCTTGCGCTGGCTGGGGGAGAAAGGGGCCATCGCCTGGGTGAGGACGTGTCACCCAAGCGAATGCAGGAGTCAGGTGGTGGCACAGGCTGGAAGGCAGGCGTTCCAAAGACCAAAGCTCAGAATAGACCAGGCCTCTTGACAAAAGCTAAAAGGGAGGAAGAGAAAAAGCTTTTAACTAGAGAGATGGGTCAAGAACAAAGAGGACGGCCAGGAGGGAATCAGCTTGGGACGCTGTGAGATGTGAGGAGACAAGCAGGGGCCTCCCCGCCTGCCTTTGGGATCAAGAACTCTGAATGGGAAAGGCTGGGAGAGGAGGGGCAGGCCCCGAGCTCA